CTCGACAACAGGCGTTTACGTAGAGGGTTCATCTTCAAGCTTGAACCGGGTGGTGTCATTTCTTGGAACTCAGCAAAACAAGAGGTCATTGCAATTTTGTCAGCCGAAGCAGAATTCATCGCAGCAAGCTCTGCAGTTCACGAAGAACTACATCTTCAAGAGTTACTTCAAGAGGTGAAAATTGCAACAACTCGCAACTTCAAGTTACTCTGCGACAACCAGAGTGCAACCAAGATTGCAAACAAGCCCAGCTTCGTCAACATGACAAAACATATCACCCCCCGATACTTCTTCGCCAAGGACGAAATCGACAAAGGGAAGGTCATCCTGAAGTACTACACTACATAAGAAATGGTAGCCGATTTTCTGATAAAGCAACTCCCATGTGGCAAGTTTTAGTACTTCTCCAACTTCGTTGGAATCTGCAAACGAGGCGACACTTACCCAGAGACATACACTCAGGAATGAAGGGGGGTGTTGAAGTATACTTGACAAAGTTACCACTTATAGTAACGGAAACAATTGTCCGGATGTGTAGTCTTCTTTTGCATTTTGATGAGTGCAGCGGCGTAAACATTAAGCCTTAATTTATGGTGTGCATACACGTTGAGAAGATCAGTTAGAGCACTCATTCAAGTTGCTTAAAACCAGAGTAGTATAATACATGGTCCCTAAACTACGATGAGACTAGACCCTAAACTCTAAACCCTAAACCCTAAACCCTGATGGCTCTGGAGGCTGGTGCCCTTGCGAATCCAGGCGTACGCACGTCCGTCGGAGCTCATCAGACCAAATCACGCGCTTCCAGTCCTCCAGCGTCCAGTCGGCATGCGGCCTTGCGAAATCGAGCCGATCACGTGTGTTTTTCGCAGAGAGCCTGGGTTTCTTGGGGCTGCTGCACAGCGATCAAGCCCGCGGATCGTAACGAGTTCCTGACGGTCTTCGAGTCTACAGCCAGAGCGTGCTTCTCCTCTAACATCTTTGCGGCGTCTATGCTGCTTTTCGCCTCCCCGCTTATAATTGCTCGAACTATTCCGCGCTGGAGTCGGGTTGTGATTAAGCGGGGGCGGCCGGCCGTGGGCATCGTAGGTCGCACCTCATCGCGACTAGTCTCGGCAATCACCTTCAGACCGTAATCGTGCACGGTGCTCTCGCCTATGCCAAGAACTTTGGCTATTTTCCTAGTCGAATGCCCTTTGCGCAACATGCTTATGATTCGCGCGCGCTTCTTGTCATCTAGCGGTTTCATCGTGATGCGGTCGTAGGTTCGCTTCAGGACTAACTCCTAGACTAGCAGCTGTTGCGCGAGACGATGTGCACACTGAGTGACGAGCAAAAATAGATCTAGAACGTCGCTCGGTATGAACTGTCCGGATCGACAGCCGAGGAGTAAATCTCAACCCCGCTTTTCGGTTGTGTCACAATCGCGCCAAGCAGGATACGGTTGAAGCAGAACTCGACAACCTTATAACAGGCTGGAAAAAAAATGGTGTTACTACATTCAAAACAAGTGTGGCATAGCGATAAGTTTCGAAGTGCTAAACATCCGGGCAATTTTTTCCGCCACTGTATGCATTCTTGATGTAACACTTAGACTGAACTAGTAGCACGATACCATATATGGAAGGATGCGTGTGATGACATCAGCAGTAGCGAGTCAACGCATGAACAGTAGGTTCGCACGTATAGTCATTCGAGGGGTCACGCCACTCTCAGTCACACGAACAGTCACTAGTCATGTCACGCAAATAGTCACAATGCACTACGAATAAGAACATTCCGAATAGGTACTTCCTAGACCATAAATATGCATGTATTATCTATTACTATTATCCTTGTCTTTTCGAACGTTTCCAATACAAGGTGTAAAGTCTTCCGTTTATTTCCTACTATTGGTTCCACCAACTCTACTCTGATTTTCTGATCTTTAAAGTTGATGTTGTGTACCACCCTTAGGCCTCCGCTTCAAAACCAAAATGTTGAAGTAAAATGCCCCATATATTGGCCAATATAGCACTAGGTATATTTTATGACTTTATAACGTTTTCTCTCATAGGCCAGGGTTTTCTTTTGTACCACCCTAAGAGATTTATTGTAAGGGTGGTATTCCCATATTTTCCAGTACCCCCCTGTCTACATACATCCCCCGTCACCACTCCTTGTTCACGCGGACCGCCGAGCTGGCCCACGTCATATGCTGCTGCACCCACCCTCGCTGGTGAATTCCATGCTCCCCTATTGAACACTTGTGCTTTTTCACGCAGGTTGTGGTGTTATAACAGACATACCCACTGTAAGGAGATTCATTTTCCTTACTAGTTGACTACAGCGCGTATGGCCTCGACTCTTGGAAGTCCAGGCTCGGCCAACTTCTTCGGTCCCGAACCACTTTTCAATCCCAAACCTAAACGCGTGGCGCTTCCGTAGCTTTCGCCAACCGGACCGCCCCAACCTGTTTGCGTGGTTCTCGGCTAGCCCTGTTCGTGCCTATAAATGCCTAGGCCCTCATTTGTATCAACACTCTTGAATCACGACTCCTTTATTATACTACCTGTTATTAATCCGATTAATTCATAACAACTGGTATCAGAGCCCCGTTCCTGTCCACTTAGTCTTCCGTAGAGTAGTCCGTTTATATTGGGAGAGGACCCAACAGAATAGGGGGCTGGCTTGCGGTTGGTAGGTGAGCTCGTTAAAGCTCCTCCAACTAGAAGCGTGTGCACCCTCAGATCTGTCAGGTAAAATTTCCAGCATGCCTACCACGCCGAAAACCTTTGCCCGCCATAGTGTTAGGAACGTGACTCAGGAGGAGTTTGACGAGTTGCAAGCTAGGGCGGCTACAGTGACGGCACTGCAAGCCCAGCTTCAACAACTCGCTGAAACTTTCAAGACGCTGGGAAGCGAAGTGCAGACGCTGCGCAACGAAAACTCGTCGCTTCGCCAGGCGAACAGCTGAAACGCGTCAGGGCGGCCTGCTATCCGAGACGAAGATGCTGCGAGCGAAGCGAGGGCGTTGGCGACACGTGAAGCAGTTGAAGAAGTCCACAGTGAGCCGTGGGCGGCCATTAAAGTCAAACCACCTATGCCGCCACCGTTCAACCAGACCGACAGATCAACTACAGTGAGCGGTTGGTTGTTCGCCATGGAGATCTTCTTCATAGCAGCAAGTATCAATGACAACGCCTGACGTGTCAACTTGGCTGTGTCGCTGCTAAGGAGACCGGCACTCGATTGGTGGCACATGCATCTGGATGAGGGAGGGGTCCTGGCAAGGGATCAACGGGTGGTAGATGGGGAGCACGGTTCATCAACGGCATAGGCAGAACCGATCTTTGGGTCGGCCACGATCCGCACGTGGAAAGCGTGGGGCGAAGCATTGACCAGCTGCTTCGAGCACATATCCATGCGTGAAAACGCTCGCACAAGGCTTCCGATGTGGAGACAGTTGGGCTCTGTCCAAGAATACATGGCTTCGTTCTTGGCGCTATGTAATCAAATCGGAGGGCTTAGCGAAGACGAGAGAATTGATCGCTACGTGGGGGGTCTCAAGCCAAAGATTCAGCAAGAGATCTTCCTGTGGGCCCAAGCGACATTCAACGAAATGGTCCGAAACGCGGATGCGCTGGACGCACGACGTGACCTCGCGAGAGCGAGTTTCCGGGAGGGAAATTGCTTTCGAGGCCAGCCCCAACACTCATCAATCAACGGCGTGGATGTGTTTGCAGCCCGGGTATTTTCCGGACGCTGTTTCCACTGCAACCAGCTGGGTCACATGGTGAAGGACTGCCCGCAGCTGAAGAAGAACTTAGCTAATGACGCGAAGCAGTCAGGAAATGGAGACAGTTAGTAGCTCATGGGCCGCCTACTGACTTGACTGCGGTGCCCAAACACCAACAGCCCCACCATTTTATAGTGCCGATTTGGGCTATCGACCATTCCTGGCTGAATAAAGGGGGTGAACCGGTTGATCGCCCTGTGCTGGTTGAAGAAAGAGTTAGCGACACCCGCATCAAAATATTTGTTGATGGCGGGGCGAGCCATAGTCTGATGGATGTGACAAAAGCGAAGAAACTTCGATTGCAGCTAGAGCGCTGCATGCGCGAAATCGACGTGAGGTTGGTTGACGGCACCCCACTGGCGATTCGGGGGCGCGTGCCTCACGTGCGAGTCACCTGTGGCGAAAAATTCAATTTCACGACCAAAATGCTGGCGACAACTCTGGATGGGTGCAACATACTGTTGGGACGTGATTGGCTACGAGAGTACAACCCAAGCATCGATTGGCGGGCGGGCAAGCCGCATCAAGTGGAGTGGCGAGTGGCGACGCCTACCCAAGTGGAGCAGTCAAGACTCGGCCACGTTGACGGTCAGCGCTGTGACTATCAAGTGAGCGATGATTCGGGGAGCGCAGTTGTATGGCATCCGCTGGATCACATCAATGGCTATTGACACGCTGGCTGACATTGCCAAACTCTGCGCAACTGTTCTGGATGGTTTGGCAATCGTGATTCGGAAGCACGCCGATATTTTTCCTGACGACCTACCGGCGGGCTTGCCACCTCAGTGACCGCATGACCACAAGATCGAGCTCGAGCCCAGCGCACAACCTACTGTTTGGACCCAGTGGCGGCTGACTCAGCCCGAGTTGGATGAACTTTGACGCCATATGGACTACCTACTTGAGAAAGGATTCGTTCGCCCCAGCACATCATCGTTTGCAGCTCCGATCCTGTTCACCCCGAAGAAAGATGGCGGTCTACATATGTGTATCGACTACCGTGCCTTGAATTGGGTTACCATCAAATCTCGCTACCCCATTCCGCGTGCCGGCGACCTCATCGACTAGCTTCGCGTGGCATGGTTCTTCTCGAAAATCGACCTGCGGGGCGGTTACCACCATATTCGCTTGACTGCTACAGGCGACGTTTTGGAGCCGGTACGGGATTTTTTAGTACACGGTTATGCCATTCGGCTTAACAAACGAGCTTTCGACATTCCAGTTAACCATGAACAATATTTTTTGGCAACTAATGGATAAGTGCGTCATCGTGTACCTCGACGACATCCTCGTCTACAGCACTACACGGGGGCAGCATTTGAAGGATTTGGAAGCAGTTTTCTCTCTCCTGCAGCAAAACCGACTCATCACCAAAGGCTCTAATTGCGAGTTTCTACAACACGAACTGGAGTTTTTGGGCCACCTCATCTCCATCGACGGTGTTAAAATTGACCCCAAAAAGATTGCGACGATCCAAGATTGGAAGCCGCCGGCTAACCTCCACGAACTTCAGAGTTTTCTGGGGTTTGTAATTTACGTCTGTCGTTTCATTCCGAACATGGCGGGGGTAACTTCCCCTCTCATGGATCTCCTGAAGAAGGGCACGTTTTTTTAGTGGGGAGAGAGCAGCAGGCTGCATTCGAAAAGCTCAAACTTTTCCTGACTCCACCTCCAGTTCTTCGGATTGCCGGATTGCGGATCCTCACCTTCCGTTTGAGCTCATCACCGATGCTAGCGATCTGGCCATTGGCGCAGTACTGTTACAACAATTCGGCAAAGGCCTCCATTCCATCGCCTACAAGCCACGAAAGCTGAACCAGGCCGAGCGAACTTATCCTGTCCTTGACAAGGAGTTACTCGCCATCGTTCACGCTTTCAAAGTCTGGCGCTGCTACCTGACGGGCGCTGACATGACAGTCCGAACAGGCCACAAGTTACTACTGTTCATCCGTGCCCAGCCGACACTGAATCCCCGACAGATTCGCTGGATAGACTACCTCGAGTCAAACTTCCACTGCATAGTCACCTACAAACATCGCCGATGCACTGACCCGCCCCTCGGTCCACACCGCCGCCGTCCTAATTACCCAAGCTAATACGCTGCTAACTGGCCTATTTACCCATAGATACAGTACTGACCCATTCTCTACCACTAACAGACATCCCTAACTGATAGTCAAGCAAAGGGCCTGTTATAATCACAATAGGCTCAGATGTGCCTAAAATGAGAGAAGTTGTGCACAGTTAGACTTCTGTTAGACAGCTTCAAATATTGATGCCGATCTGATCTGTGCCTCAAACGGTGATCTGTAAATTGGATCTGAAGCGCATTGCTGTCGCCTATTAGCAGCAAGTTGAATCATAAAATTCCATGAAGATGTGACGGGGCTATGGCGGTTTGACTGGCAGGGGGTACAGTAGCCACTATAGTCTTAGGAGTACAAACTTAGCAAGAAGAGTTCGAGATGGAGATGGTTCCCAGCCTCTACATACCCCAAGATCCGAGGTCCAGGTTGGTGGTACACCACCACAGAGTCCCCAACCATGAGGAGTCTCGAAAAAAACCCAACAAGGGGCTACACCAAGTGAAATGTAACACTACACGAAGTAGCGTTACTATTTTCACTATTTTTATATTTATCCACGTCCGTTGGGCTTGAAATCTTGAGCTCTTGGTCTTGGTTCTGCAAGATCACTTCTTCTTGAGTTGATGGGGGCTTGCTGCACACACCTGCGACGCGATTGACACTTTACACTCGACAAAATAGAAAAAACGCATGCGACACGCAAACGACGACTTGACATGCGAGTTGTAAAAACTCGCTAATGTCTTGACCGACACAAACCACATTGTGATACACCATTCAAACACACACACAAGCACTAGATAGCAATGACATAGACTCACAATTCATTCCATGCCATGCATGCACACACACAAACAAGGACGACAAGCCGAGTGCAAGCCATAGGGTTGCACCAACAGGGCCTACTACATGAAATCCGGTACTAATCGGATTTGGGTTCCCGCCTACTGTACCCTACGGGAGTTACTGATTCAGGAGGCACATGACTCGAAGTTCTCGGGTCACTACGGCATTGACAAAACCGCAAAATTACTGAGCCGTAATTATTACTGGCCCGATCTACCGACAAAGATGCAGCAGTACATCACCTCCTACGCCATGTGTCAACGCATGAAGTCCTCCCGGCTTTGACCTGCTGGATAGCTACAACCGCTCAAGCCATCCAGCCGACCTTGGAAACAAGTGACGATGGACTTCATCACTGGCCTGCCAGCTGGTCTAAGTGGTAACGACACGATCCTCGTCGTCGTTGACCGGTTGACCAAAATGGCCCATTTTGTCGCCTGCAAGACGACAATTACTGCCGAGCAGACAGCGAAACTATTCCTCACGAGCATCGTGCGGTTACACGGCATCCCCTCGGCAATCATCAGCGATCGTGACCCACAGTTCCCGTCCAACTTTTGGACAAAAACCTGGCAGCAGTACGGCACACGTCTGCATCTGTCCACGGCTTACCACCCAGAATCGAACGGTCAGATTTAGCACACCAACCAGATGGAGCGAATCAGCTGCTCCACCCACAATCGAACGATATGCACAAACCCGGCCCAATGGGAAGACACCCTTCCTTTGATCGAGTTTGCGTACAACAATGCCCCATCGGCCACGGCTACTCAGTCCCCGTTCTTCCTTAATTATGGGATAGACCCGACAACCCCTCTATTGCCACCGATAGAAAATCTGGCACCAAGATCTCAGCAGTTCGTCGAGAACCTCCGACAGTCTCAGCAAAAAGGCGTCGATGCCATCCTCAAAGCCAACCAGAGGGCTAAGCAGCAAGCTGACCGACGACGCCGAGACTTAACACTTGTCTTTGGGCATATGGTCTTGCTCGACACCAGGAATTTGGGAATTCCTCTCCCAAATAAGTTACGACTACGATTTTGCAGACCATTCCGCATTATTCGAATGGTGACACCAGTCACCGCCCAGCTGCAATTGCCCACCGACTGGCGGATTCATGATTCGTTCCACGTCAGTCTCCTGCGACCGTTCGTCCCGAGCGTGACCAATCTCGACCGTCAACACATCAAACCTACGGTCAACCCAGTACCTGAGCCCACGACAGAACTGTCCAAGATTCTCACTCATCGCGTACGGGGGCATCGAGATACAGCAGCCACCGATTTCCTTGTACGATGGGTCGATCGCACGAGTGACGACGATTTCTGGGTTCCCGCAGCTACACTCGGCGAACACAGAGTTGTCCGGGACTATTTGCACCGACGACGTGTCCCGAATGTGGGTAGTCTCGTCCCGGAAGGAAGGGTGTTGTAAGGAAATTCCTTTTCCTTACTGGGCTTGACTACAGCACGTACGCCTTCGACTCTCGGAAGTCCAGGCTCGGTAAACTTCTTCGGTCCCGAACCACTTTTCGAACCCAAACCTGAACCCGTGGCGCTTCCGTAGCTTTCGCCAACCGGACCGCCCCAACCTGTTCGCGTGGTTCTCGGCTAGCCCTGTTCGTGCCTATAAATGCCTAGTCCCTCATTTGTATCGACACTCTTGAATCACAACTCCTTTATTACACTACCTGTTATTACTCCGATTAATTCATAACACCCACGTAGATTGCTGCCACACTTGTACTCGCTGTACAAGTATCTATCGTTTATTGGCCCCTTAGACATTTCCCCCTTGTAATACAGTGTCATTATCATCTCATCGCCCACTTTTGCAATCTCCTCTCACATCCCTCGAACGTTTCCTCTCATGCCAGCCTCATTTCCTCTCGCTGTCTCGCCTCGTCAGCCATGGTTGTCGAGGACGATGTTGACGATGTTGACGCCCCTCCCTTACGTTGCCATGCCGCACTTAGTGGCTTAGACTTCTTGCACCACACTAACGCCTCCGAAGTAGAGCCTCTGCCGCTCCAAAAGCGTCGACTCGCTGCTTTAGAATCCACGCCTCAGCGCGAGTCTAAGCAGCAACAAATGGGTGTGGGAAATGGAGGAGGCGAATCTGCTGGCTTGTCCTCCACCTCCAGAACCCGTGACCTCGTCTCCCACATCTGCATCCGCATTGATGACTGAGAAGAATCGTCGTTACCAGTAGAGGCATATGCCCTTCACACCTCCTCCTCCCTAAGTTCTCATGATTTTCAAAACTTCAGCGGGTTTCTCTTAGATTTCAGAATGAGTATCTAATCGTGTCTTGTCTTTGTCGCATGTATGTCTTTAGGGAGATGGTGAAAGCCATGGTTGCTTCCTGGAAGGCGCAGCAGATGGAGACTACACAGAGCAGTGGGACCTAGATCACCAGGCCCCCGGGTCTCCAGAGAAACCACACGGACCCCAGGGCAGCGACCGCCCTGGGTCCCAACCCCCAGGGCTTCTACTGTGCCCAACACCCCCAGGGCCCCACCACGGCGACTGCCAGTGCTGCTGCTGCTGCTGCGGCTCAAGGCAGGGAGCCCTGTAGCATACCTCGAGGGCATGGAGCTGGGCGACGAGCTCACCAGTAATGTGGGCCTCCAGGAGCTCGCAATCCACATGCTGGCTCACTAGCTGCCGGTGGAGCGCGAGAAGCCAGAGAGAGAAATCGACCGCCCGGCCTTCGGCGTCCAGCCGAGGGACAGACTCCGACGAGGTCGGCATGCTGATAAGGGAGGCGGCGAGGAACTCTAGTAACGAGGAGCAAACTAGTGGGAGGCGCTAGGGGCTGCAAGAGCACGAACGGTGGGAGGGGCAGTGGATGCTGTGGCCGGAGCGGCGGCCTGGCAGCTGGCGGCTGGCTGCTAGCGGCCGGCTGACCGCGGCAGGGAGCGCGCAGCAGGAAGCAGCAGCGGGTGGCAAGCAGGCGCAGGGGGGCTGCAAGCTGGCAGCAGGGGGTTGTTGACGAGCGGCAGTGGGCTGCTGCAGGGGGCTGCTGCCGGCTGGGAGCAGCAGCAGCGAGCCGCAGCGAGCGGCAGCGGCAGTGGGCGGCAGGCAGCAGGGAGCAGTGGCTGGTGGCTGGCTGGTGGCTGGCTGGCTGCTGGCGGGTGGCTGGCTGGCGGCTGGCTGGCTGGCTGGTGGCTAGCTGGCTGGCGGCTGGCGAGCGGCGGCTAGCTGGCTGGCGACTGGCTAGCTGGCTGGCGGCGGCTGGCTGGCCGGCTAGCTGGCTGGCCATGGATGGCTAGCGGGAGCGGCTGGCTGGCTAACAGTGGCTGGCTGGCGGCTGACAGCTAGCTGGCTGGGGACTGGCTAGCTGGCTGGTGGCTGGCTGGCTGGCTAGCTGGCTGGCGGCAGCTGGCTGGCTAGCTGGCTGGCGGGAGCGGCTGGCTGGCTAGCAGCGGCTGCCTGGCTAGCAAGTTGGCTGGTGGCTGGCTGGCTGGCCAGCTGGCTGGCGGCGGCTGGCTGGCTAGCTGGCTGGCAGGAGCGGCTGGCTGGCTGGCAGCGGCTGGCGAGCTGGCTGGGCTGGCTAGCTGGCCAGCTGGCTGGCGACGGTTGGCTCGCTAGCTGGCTGGCGGCTGCTTTGCTGGCTGCGAGCCGCTGGCGGCAAGCTGGCAGCAATTCGCTGGCGGCGGGCTGGCGGCGGCGGGCTGCTAGCTAGCTGTTGGCGGCGGCGAGCTGGCAGCGTGCTG